TGAAACAGGAAAATCGCGAAAAGTCAACCACTATCCCTACAATGCCAAAGCGTGAGTACGACCCCCCCCCTTTACAACGTCCGCAAAGCGAGAAAAATCAACTATAAAAATAAATTTTTCCCAGCCCAAATACGACCCCCTCCCATAGGGAATCCCCATCGAACGCTGTGCCCTGGGGGGGGGGTATAGGGGGTATAGGGGGATATACTACGAATGAAACAGGAAAATCGCGAAAAGTCAACCACATCCCTACAACGCCAAAAGCGTAAATACGACCCCCCCCCTTTACAATGTCCATGAAGCGAGAAAAATCAGCTATCAAAAAATTTTCCCCAGCCCAAATACGACCCTCCCTCTCCCTCTCCTGCCGGCAAAATACGACCCCCCTATTGGGGGTTCTCCAGCGAAAATGTGCCCTGCAACCCAGTGCTTCAGCCGTGAAACTGGTTGTGAATGTATCGTTCAGGTAAAGGTCGGAAAGAGAGATCTACCTCACCGGCTCAAACCCATGTCCAGGAAGTGGTTTGCAGAGCGAATGGTGCTCCAGCCGAAATTCCTGTGCTTTGTCTGCAACTCATACTTGGAAACTACTTCACTTATGAGGAGGTGGTTTCGTTCTGTTATAGAATCAGAATTGTGAAACATTTTTCAAAAGATAAAATTTATACTTTAAATTTGTAGCTAGGACGTCTGAGGGGTGTTCATCCGCATTGGGATGAGATATGTGGACAACTGCTGAATGGCGCCTACTATAGACTTCTCGAAAGGTAAGCTGAAATTGGTTTTCAGTTTTTCTGCATCTATCCGTTGGAATTCGTCATTTCAGGTCGGACAAGATGCTGATGATGTTGCAACGAAAACTGCCAGCTGATCCAACCTTGCATTTTCCTACCAGCATTCTCACCAGCGTTCAAGTGCACATTCTGAATCCCGTCGATATCATGAGAGCTGTTTTGGACGAAGGTACTGGGGCTTCTGAAATTTGCTAAAAGATTTTCTAGAAACTGGAAATGCTAATATTTCAACTTCATCCTTTCCTTAATGTGAGAGCTCAATAGTAGGGGTTAGGTGAGCAGGGGAATTCTGTAATATTTCTCAAATCTGAATGCCCATAATTCCAGAAGGTGTGATTAGTACCTGTTCTTTACTCATTTTTTTTGCAATATAGGCAATCATTTCGTCGGCACCGTTCAGACTTCGCGACGGCAGTGCTTCGGCGCGTTCGACGCGATCGATGCGCATGCTTTCGACTGCATCGATCGCGTCGAACGCGCGACCGAAGCGCTGCCATCGCGAAGTCTGAACGCTGCCTACCACGCCTGGTTCAAGCGTGAGAGCCGTCGAGGAAAAACGAAGGGCCTGTGCAAGAACCATAGGCCGGATAACCGGACAAACTTTCGACGTGCCAACTCCTCAAGGCAGGAAACAGCTGTGAAGACGCAGTGAGGCTCTTGTATGTGTAGCCTGAAGTCGAAACGACCTACTCTCCTGAAACAATGAATGAAGAGGCTGCTTCCACGGCCACTCCCCACACAGAGCAGCCACGAGGTGCTTCGATTCTGAGAAAGCATTTGTTCGCAGACGAGAATACTGTGGGCGCAATGGCAATGTTATGCAAGTTCGCCGTGATAAAGTTGAAAGGTAGGGGCAGTGAGGCGCGAGGTAACTCCGCCCGCGTCGCTAGCTGTCAGTCGTCTTGGCCGGTTGCATGCTCTCTCGCTGATTTTTAATGGTTTTCGCACGGAACCCCCAATAATGATCAGCCTCTTGCTCAAAGAATGAAAGCCTCATTTGGAGGCGTTTTTGACGAGAGCTCTTTTTTATGAGTAAGTTAACACCAATTTTCCAGCGCAGCTGTCTGGGAACTTTTCGACAGCTTCTTAAGAAATCTGCCTTTAAGGTGTATGTTGTTTTCCTTATGGAGCGATTCTTGACAAAACGAATGCGATTCTCGACCAGATCGAGTTTATGCTGTACGGCGGAGATCAGGTGAGTATTACGCCGTAAGTTGGTCCCTTGTGCAGAAATAAGGTATCGACAAGCTCCGCGACCATAACAAATTAGTGGTCTTTTAGATCAAAATCAAGTGGGAACCCGTCGCTTTGTTGGCAAAGAAGGCATCACTGCATTACCGTACCCATCTAGAGCGGATTATGGAAGAGAGGTATTTCTTGCCTTCTCACTTTATAGCCTTCATTTCAATAGTGGTCATGTAAATTACTAGTTATAGAAATTTTAAGTCGTTTTCAATTAAGGCACGTCGTGCCGTTGGAAAAAAATATTGCAAAAGACGAGTTTCATAGAAATCCCCTGCTACGGAACAATCTCTTTCCCCATCTTTACCATCTTCCTGAATTTCGAATCTTTCTCCAGCGACCAAATACGACCGCTATTGGAAACAGGGCAGCCGATAGGGACTCAAAGTACGACGTGCCTGTTTTCAACAGCGATACTTGCTTTCTCACGACTTTCTCTGCAGATGCGGAAAAAACTACAGTAATCAGCTAGCTTTCCTCTGATTTCGAGCTTCAACATACTGGCTCAACAGTATCTGTTAGTTTTTGTGGGCTGTCCAAGGCTGGTAAACCTCCATTCACTGACCCAACGTTTCAGCTGAACATTCATCTTCAGAGCACTGAAAGTGCTTAGGGTTTTATGTTTATGCTCTGGTTGGTCAAGTGCCTCCAAAGCCCTGTTAGGGCAAGAGAATCGTAATTCGCCGCGCCAGTGGGCGTCGCGTGCGACGTCGCGCCCGCTAATGACGACGATTTTAGGTGGTATTGGTCGAGAATAGACAATGTATGACAAAAATAGACATAAGTGTCTACCATGTCCTTGTCTACATGAAATCCGATGCTCCAATCGAAAGGGTAGTGCAAATTGAGGAAACGTCGCGCCCATTGCTGCGCGCGACGGAGCGGCAATTTACGATTCTCTTGCCCGTCTCCTCCTGTCAGAGACCTGCAAAAGAGAAATGCAGGCAATAGAGAAGCTAACGCCTTTTTGAACGAAGAATCAGCTACCGCAGTTTGTAATTATGTACACTTGTGAACTAGATTTGTAATTATATACACACTGGGTTAAAAAAATGAAAAACAAATAAAGAAATTGACTTTCTCTCCCAAAGCGAAGAACTTTTTGTGAATTTTTTCCCATTGCCTGCACTTGCCTTCGCTATTTCGAGCAGGTTGTTGCAAGCGCAACATCTTGCGACACGAATGAGGGATCGGGAGCGTGAAACCAATTCTGAACAACGTTCGAGCCTTCGGAGGCGACGACGATTCCATTGAAACCTTAGGCGTAAACGTGAAACTTTCAGATTCACTTGTAAAGGCACACAGAAACTGATAAGAATTACAACAAGATTGTTGTTTTTATAACGCCGCCATCTGTAAAAAATTCAAATAAAGTGTCACAGAAGTGGGCCGTAAGGCTAAGGGCATGGCTAAGATGTTGCTCAAAAAGTTTTAAAAGAGTCCAGAAAGTCCAGTGAGTTCTTCACCCATCCGACTAACTTTCTATGCAGGAAGTATATTTGCTAACCCAAGTCCTCTGACTGGATCGATTTTGCTTTTTCAGACTCGGTGAGGGATTGCGACTGAAGGCTGCGCAACGAATTCTACGGCTCGACTCATTTTTAGTTGAGAGTACAGTGACAAAGCTTGAGAAGGATACCACCAAGGTTAGTTCCAACAGTTCAATAGCGAGGAACCTTAGAAAGTGCAATCGTGTTATCTCTAGGCGAGAGACGAGTTGAAGTGGGAACTGGAGCAGTTACAACAACAGAACGCTCAGCTACGCAAAGACAATCGCCAGTTGAAGA